CAATACAGAGGCACCTGCTACACATTACACTTAAAGCAGAATTAACCAATTAATCACAGCTTCAATTGTAACCTGTCCACGTGTTAAAGCAATTAATGGCATCAGAAACCAAGGAATAAACCACAAAGTTATTCCACAAAAAATCTGGAATAACTTTATGGCTGGTTCCTATGATGCCATTACTTGAACATGTGGCCAGGTATGCCCCATGGCTGGAAGCCTACATTAATTAGCTAATGGGGCTCCCAGCAGTGGAAGTACATGGTGAGCCCCATTAGCAGAGGAGGATCCCAGCCATGTGAGCCTGCTACTTGTCAGTGCAGAAGAAACCTGGAATCATGATCCCAGGCTGTACCTGAACCAGAAATAAGGCATGATGACAGCTGTGGGATCCCACAATAATGCCTCCTGCATACACGTGGCATGGCAAGAAGTGCAACAGTATGGATTGCGCATCAGATACCATCACACCTTTACCTGCATGACTGGAGGAGCCCAGAACAAAACCCGCTTTGTGCACTCACCTTGATTTTTGCTCCTGGGACAGCTGTGCATTGGCGTTATCCAGAGCTCTGCGATGTTCTCGATTCAGTCGCTGCTGTTGCCGCTCAAAAAGAAGTTGTGCTCTGGCAGCTTGTACACACTGCCTGTCCCACTCAGCATTTCTTTGGAGTTCTTCCTCCTGTAGTCTCTGTATGAATAAAAGTAATGTTTTAATTCTCTTTGGTCAAAGAAAACACACTGTTAAAATACAGACTAATGAGCAAATTCATTCATGTAATTAGTTTTTTTGTTTCTGGGAGGCTTAAATAATCTCTACCTCCACACAGATAGTACAAACTGCATTCTTCGCCCTACGTAATAGCTAGCACTTCATGCATGAAATTCAACCATGGGGGGAAAACATATGGTGGTGGCACCACTTTTCCTGTCCAGTGATACCCATTGGATGATATCTCTTAATAGTCACAGTTCTCTGTGATCAACCAAAGGATGCTTTATGGGGAGGTAAAAAACTTTACTGGTGGAAGTGGCCCACAAAGTTCATGCCCTTTTCTTAGCTAGTCCTATATACATTTGAAGCTTTGCTGGGCAGCTATCTCTTTCCAAAGTGGAGAAAACACTGTGTATTACTGTTAGCTGTATCAGGTAGAGCATAGACTGAATCAGGCTTACTACTTGTAATCTTGCTGTAATTTCTGACTCAAAATTTTCCGTCTTTTCCAAATATCCTACTTTTTACAAGTCTATTATCACTTGCAATCATACAGAGTTTATACACGTGCTCTAGGAGGCACGGGGGAGCACTTTAATTAGTGCAGCTCCAAGAGCCGTGCTAATTAAAAGCACCAAGAGCATCACGTGCATGCAGCATCCCAATGCTGAAAAATGGCAGTGGAGAGCTTTGAGCTAAAACTCAAATGAGCTTTAGTTTAAAGCACTCCACTGCCATTTTTCAGCATAGGGACACTGATACATGTGATGCTGGAGGCTGCTGGAGCACATTAATTTCTATGCTCTGGAAAAACTGAGCATTAAGAGGAACCACACTAAGCGAAACCCATTTTCCCATAGAAGTGAATGTAAACAGAGATTAATTGGTTACTGCCCATCCCACCACCACCTCTCTCCTCTCCTCCGCCCACCTGCCAGCACTCCAGCCCCACATGCCAGCCTGGGCCTGTGCTCCTGCTGCCCTGCCCTGCTCTGGGCCCCCACCAGTTCTGGCCCCAGGTCCTGCGCTCATGCCCACCCCTTCACTCGCCATTTCTCACTGCTGCTGCCTCTCCCCACCTCCCTTGCATACCCACCGGCCTCTCCAGCCCCACTTGCCAGCCTGGGCACTGGCGCTCCTGACATTCTGCTCTGGGCACTGGCCCCTACTAACCCTGGCCCCATTGTGGGCCCCATGTTCCTGTCACCCCACTCTGGGTACAGGCCCTCATGCCCTCCCCACCACTCGCTAGCACTGCTTCTTCTCCCCACCCATCCGCTGAAACTCCCTGGTATAAAATCTAATCATCAGAGGTTTGCCTTTAATTTTTCCTCCACCCACTGAAACAGCAGGGAAAATAAAATGGGGAGGGGGGAGGTGTGGAAATCAGGTAGCCACTCAGCCTCTCCCTAACTTTGTAACTTTCTACACTCCTTACTGTCAAGCCCTGCTCTCCCTGAGCACAAAAAAGTGAGAAGCAAATTTGAAAACACTCATCTTGAAACTAAACATAGCTGTAGTAATTTGCATATAGTACTTACAAGCTTAGTTCATCTAGAATTGATGCATTTTACCTTTTTTGAAACTGCTGCAAATTTAGCACAGGTACTCCTTAAACACACTTTGGCACCTACTTGAAGATCGTACAAACCATTCGTTATATTAGTCTAAAGCTAAAAAGTTCATGATTTACCATATAGCTCATTGGGCTGGGTTCCACCAGAGTGAACAGCATTTCAAGCTATAGTGACCCCACAGCTCAACATGTGTATCCCAGATACAGCCCCAACCAAAAAGATCCATATGCAAATTACACCTCCTCCCCCATGACTGGAACCGGGTGTTCTTGTCATGAGTCCTGGGATCCTCAAAAATGTATGTATATGAGGTTCAGGGCAACTTGGTCCAGCTCCACCTCATGGAGTGCAGGGCCACACTAAGCCTATGCAATAAGTTGAGAGGGGGTGACAGAGGGATTCTGGGTGAACAGTTTGGGGCCCCATTTGGTGATGTTTAACCAGTTTAATTTAAGGCTGGTAAAGAAAAAGGACTCGTTGAAAACAGGAAAGAAAGGTGCAGCTTAGCTGTGGGAATAAATAGGAAGCTGAAATGTATGCACAGTGGTTCACCATGACTTGAAAAAGCACTAGTGCTGAGGGGGACTGTGCTCAATGGGCATTACTATATGTCTTATTCAGATGGGTTGTACTACCCTATCAGCATGTCTTTGTAACAGGGCTGTATTGTTCATCCTTTGCAAGTGAAAATGACCACATCCAGCGAGAAAGGGAGAAGAGAGACAAATTGGGGAAAAAAAAAAAAAAAAAAAAAGAGAGAGGGAGAAAAGAGAAAGGAAGAAAAAAAAGGAGAAAGAAGAGAGAGGGAAGAGAGAGGAGGGGGTGGAAGCTAGGTTGTGTGGCTACGCAGGTGACTTATCAGCCCAATCTTTGCCCTGAACAATCTACTGCAGCAGAGGCAGGAGAGCGACAATGACTGGACATGAGAAATTCTTGTTTTCCTGGCCACGTGCTTCCTCACTGCCTCTGCCGTGTGCTGCTGCTTGAAAGCCAGTGCTTCTGCTCTGGACCAACGACCTCCAAGATGGATGGTCACAAGCAGTTTGCTACGATTCTGTGTCAATGCCGAAAATCTTTTGGGAGATCTTTAGAGTGTCCTTGTACCACTTCTTTGGTGTGCTGCAAAAGCATACTCCATTTGACAGTTCGCTGTAGAAGATTTTCTTCAGCAGGTGAGTGTCAGGCATTCTTGAAAGGTGGCTGGCCCATTTTAGCTGTGCCAGTTTCAGTAGGGTGTGGATATTGAGGAGAACTGATCTTCTGAGCACCTCAGTGTCCAGAATCTTGTCCTGACACTTGATCTTTAGTATCTTTCGTAGGTAGCACAGGTGGAAGTGGTTTAGTTTTTCGGCAGGACTCTGGTAGACGGTCCAGGTTTTGCAGGCATAAAGGGGGGTTGGAAGAATGATGATTTTGTAAACCTTCAGTTTTGTCAACATTCCGATGCCTCTGCGGTCCCAGACTGACTTACGGAGTCTGCTGAAGGCCACACTGGCTTTTCCTAGCCTCGCGTTGACTTCGTTGCCAACGTGGACAGCACAGGACAGTGTGCTGCCTAGACAGCCAAACTTGTTGACCATTGACAGTTGTTGGCTTTTAACTGAGACATGAGGTTCCTGGGGTGTTGTACCAAGCTCAGGTTGAAACTTCACTTCGGTAGTGAGTCCGAAGTTGTTGCAGGCTAATGAGAATCGGTCCATGGACCGTTGCATGTCAGCCTGTAAGCCTCCGCATAATGCAGTCATCAGTGAAAAGGAAGTTACAAAGTAGCTGTCTGGACATTGGAGCTTGCTTGGAGCCTGTGCAGGTTGAAGATGTGTCTGTCGAAACAGTACCTGATCCCCATACCAAGGTCATCATCTTGGAAGGCATCCAACAGCATGGCATAGAATACTATGATGAAGAGGGTAGGTGTGAGCACAGAGCCCTGCTTGACGCCATTTGTGACAGGAAAGGGGTCAGAGCATTTGCCATTCACAAGTACACGTGCCATCATGTTGTCGTGGAACTGTCAAACCATATTGAATTTTCCAGGGCATCCGTACTTCTTCATGATTTCCCAGAGGCCTTTGCAGTTCACCGTGTTTAAGGCTTTGGTTAGGTCAACAAATGTGAGGAGAAGGTCAATGTTCTGTTCCTGGCACTTTTCTTGAAGCTGCCAAGCCGCAAACACCATGTCAGCAGTTCTGTGTCCTTTTCTGAAGCTGCATTGACTCTCAGGCAGTAGGTCATTTAGATGGTCAGTCAGCCAACTGAGGAAGACTCTCACGAAAATCTTGCCAGCATTTGAGGAGGGAGATACCCCTGTGGTTGCTACAGAGTTGGTGATTTCTCTTCCTCTTGTACAGGTGGACGATGGAGGCATCCTTGAATTCTTGAGGGACTACCTCCTGCACCCACATACTGCAGAAGATCTCGGTTAGTTTCTGCACAAGGCCATGACCACCTAATCAGTAGACCCCTGCTGGAATCACTTGGGCTCCAGAAGCTTTGCCACTAGACATTTGTTGTATGGCCATTTAGACTTCCACAATTGACTTCCACCTTCAAGTGAGGTGTTGATTGCGATCTGAGGCAATTTGTGTATGGTGTCCATGTTGACGGAGGAGCTCTGATTGAGCATGGCACTGAAGTGTTCAGCCCATCTCTGGAGGATCTGGGCCGTGTCAGTTAGCAGCGTAGTCCCATCGGCAGACAGCAGAAGGGAGGATCCAAGGACCTGCGGACCGTAGACAGCCTTTAGGATGTTGCAGAACTCCTTTGAGTCATTGCAGTCAGCACAGTACTGGATCTTGTCTGCTTTGTTCTTCAACCGTGTGTCCTGCATCTCTTGCAGCTTGTGCTGAATGGTCTTTCGTATCAAGCTGTGTGTTGTGCTGTCGCAGACTTATCATAGAATCAGGCTCTGTGGAGACACTGTTTCTCTTCCAGCAGCTGTTGTATCTCCTTGTCATTGTCATCAAACCAGTCTTGGTGTCTGCAGACACTTAGTCCCAGGGTCTCAAGAGCTGCAGAGTGTATAGCTTCATGGAGCCGCTTCCAGTTGGCTTTGATGGAGCTGGAATGGAGCAGTGTAGTGTGAACTCGATCTTTCAGATGGCTTGCAAAAGACAGCTTGGTGCTGTCATTTAGCAGCCCTGCAGTGTTGAGCCCTGTAACAGGGCTAAGAATGGGAATGGTGTAACTGTAAAAGTGCAATTTGGATTGTTAAGTGAACGACAGCTGTCACAAGACAGGTTGTTAGTGGTACAATTTAAAAAATATAGATATTGCAATAGTAATAATAATAATAATAATAATAATAATAATATTTTTAAAAGTCGGCATTTTTGCCCAGTATGGACTATATGTTTTATAGTCATACTCAGTGTTGGTTGGATTTAAATCAGCTCTACAGTTGGTTTCCATTACTGAACATGTGCTGTTTTTGCTAGTAGTTTAATGATAAACTATGTATTTAATGAGGTTTCCTTGTATGTGAATGCAAGACGAGGGGCTTTATTCCTCATGCTGACTGGGGGGGGGGGCTCATATTGCATTTAAGTAAATAGGGTACATGACTGCATGTTATTTTTTCCCCACCAGAACTGCTATCTTGTGCAGCACGCTAGGAATAAATCTGAGCTACAAAATGAAGATGGTTGTCTGTAGGCTCCCTGTTTTGTATTTTGCAAAAGCACTGAATGAGGGAGAGGACATTTCAGGAAGAGAAAAGAAAAGATATTGTTCTTCATCAGGATTGCCGTGGAGACCCAGATACAGTAAAATCTCTGCTATCTAGTACTTAACCAACCTGAATACTCCATTAACTGGAGTTTTGCACGTGGCCACGACCCACCACCCTGAGCTGCTGCTGCTCTGCTTGCAGCCGCCGCCAACCTCTCCACCCCTGCTAACACAAAGCTGAGATCTGAAAACTCTGCCAGGTTATTTCAGATAACTGGAGATTTTACTTAACTGGCAATCCCCTTACTCAAGGAATGCTGGAAAATAGAAATTTTACTGTACTACCTTTGCCCCTGCAAGAGTTTCTGTGCGACTTGTAGACAAGTCACTTGTAAACATTTCATAAGTGATCACTGATTATGCATTACTCATTTCCTGCATACCTTATTTGAGACCTGGACATCATTTAGGAAGTGCTGAGCACTCTCAGCTGCAACTGAAGTTAACAGCAGCTATGCACCGAATATTATGTGATCATTTAATTAAAGATTAATTAAATAGTATAACATACAGCCAAGGGACTTAATTAAAGTTGTAAAGGCAACTAATTTTGGCATTTCTGAATGCTTTACTTTGCAGCCTTCAATTTTTGTGCAGTCTCAGGTTTTTGAAAAAGCAAACTGAAAAACATAGAAATGTCCTCATGCAACAAAACACAAATCATCAGCACAGATGGATTTTAATTTAATTCCACCTGACAGACCTTTGCAACCTGAGTAACAGGAAATATTAGCAACAGTATGTTGTCATCTTCTACAGGAACTGGTGGTAGAGAGGGAAGAGATACTTCTCAATAAATTTCACAGGTATATGCTCACAGCAGAGGACATGGGAAGCTCAAGAATCCATTTGAGACTCTGGGGAGTAGCATTGTCACAATACACTTTTCCCTTCCCAAGTGTGACCCCTTCTGTCCCATCCCTCCAAATTGTCCCTATTCCAGTTCTGTCTCTTCCTCAGCCCCAGCTCTTTGTTCCATTCTTGTCACTTTAGGTCAGGGTTGTGAAACATATGGCTTGAAGGCCTGTGGAGTCCCGCAATTCATCCCTGGGTACTGTCCTATTGACCCACATGCTGCACTAGACCAGCCTTGCACATAATGCCCAGGATATGTGCAGCATGCAGGACTTGGTAGGCTTGGGTCCTGGGCTGTGAAACTTGTGGGGCTAGCCGAGGCCAGGTCCTGGGCTGTGCTTCGCATGGTGCTTGCTGAGGTCAGGTTCTGTACACCAGCCCTGCACCTTTCATTTGGCCTGCTTGCTTTAGGCTTTTCATCTCCATCTTGTGGCTGGACCAGATTTATTTCACTGTTCCCAGTTGACTGTCTAATCTCTTTTCTACTACATCATTCCTCCCTCTTTCTTCCATTAGCTCCCAGCCATCCATGTTCCTTCTAATCCAATCTCTGCATTAGCTCTTTATTGGCCATTGTACTGACAAAAATCAACACACCACCATATCAAATTTTAGCTGATTTTTTAAATGAAATCTTCCTATCTTCCCAAGCAGGAAACAACTTTGACCACCTGAAACCTGAGATCTGCTCCTGCCTTTGCCCAAGGTAATTTGTATCATCATAGCCTTACAAGAGAGCTGAGACTCTTTACCAGCTAAGAACTGCTGCCCAGAGGGTTTTTCCCTTTATTGACTCCTCTGTGAAATTCTATAAAATATGAACTTTCATTTCTACCCAGGAGAACTTTTACAATCTTTTCTCTGATGCCTGATGAAGGGTGTTTGTTCCCAAAAGCTTGCAACTAAAGAATTTTTTTTGCAAAAATCTTGTTGGTCTCATAAAAGATATCACTTCTGTCCACAAGTCCTGATTGCTTCAGCACAACACCAGGAACTCAATTACAATGATCTCCCTCTCCCCCCACAGCCTGCAAAAGTCCTTCTCAGAGTTACTGTTTATGGGTTGTTGTTTTTTTTTTTTTTTTTTTTTTACACAGACTCCTGCATTGTAGGAATAACCAGATATGGACTATGCATTTTTTGGGATTGTGATTCATATTATTTATTAAAAGTCACCAGTCTTCCTCATTATTTATTACACCAATCTGTACACCATCCACAAATTATAGCAGTAAAGATTTTATACCACTCTAGTCCGTTTTCTTGCCCAGAAATTCTTGGTATCCCTTCCTCCATGCTACTCATCTGACCTCAGTGGTTCCACCCATAAATTGTCTATGCCCCCACTATCATCTCCCTCACCAAATCCCAGTTTCAGCTTTCCCACCCAACTCTCAGCCCCAAAATGTTTTAATCTTGGTCTCTATGTGGCTCTTGTTTTCAGCACTTCATTCTCAGTTCCTAGTTTACAGATTTCCTTTCCAACCCCCACACCATAGGGTTTCTTTTTCCTAACTACTCCTTTTGTAGCCTCACTATTGATCTCTTGACCCCTCTACATTTGAATCCAGTAACTTCTGTCTTCACGTTGCCTATACAACAGCATAGGATTTAATCAGAGTACAGGTAAACAAGTTATTACTTGAGATGCCTGACTCTAGGCAAGCCTGGAGGAGCTGGGAGCTTTCTTTACAAAAGGGAAGTTCTATTTTAACTGTGTAATTATGGGCTAGAACAGTGGAGGCCAACCTTTTGTGCCAGCCCTGCATCCTCCCCAAGTGCTATTCTGATCCCTTCTTCTGCCTGGTACATTGCTTTGCTTTCGCCTCCCAGCCTTGTGCTGCCTTCCCTATCTTCTGTTATGCTCCCTTCTCCCTCCCTGATTTGCTGAGTGCCACACACATAGGCTGCCTGTGCCACTTGTAGCAACCATGCCAGAGGCTGGTCACCCCTGAGCTAGCATATGCTCAGTTTGCCCCTGTGGATGGGACATGTGCAGTCTAGTCATATATAGGAACTAAAAGACGCCAGAATCATTGAATAGTCATAGAATCATAGAATTAGGGGAGGAAGGGACTTCAGGAGGTCTAGTCCAATCCCTGCTTAAGGCAAGCTATCCTAGAAAACTGTTTGTCTAATCTGGTCTTAAAAACTTAATTAACAGCTTTGGCATACAACTACCAGACATAATACCTGAAATGTCCAAAAGACCCTTTAACTTGCCATAGGTGCAGTGTAGGGGAGAGACAGGGGTGTTGGGGAGGGCACTTTCAATGTCTTGCCACTGCAAGGACAGGACACAGTTGGTAAAAATATACTCAAGAGATTTAAGGAAGAGGACCGCATCTCTTCATTACAGAGGATGACAAAAATCCTCATAGTCCATCTCAGTCTCACCATGGGGTAAAACCCTTCTTGATCCCAAATGTGATGATCATTCTGACCCTGAGCAGATTAAGCATATCAGAATGAAATCTTCAGAGATGCTTGCTGTTAAAACTCCAACAAGTCTCTAATGAGCAAGCAGGGACTAAGATTTTTCAAAGGTTTATACCTTGGCCAAATCTGAGTGGATATTTATGGGAACAGCAAAAAGCAAATTCCTGCCAAATTCCATGCTCTTGCTCCAAAAAACTGGGAACAAAAACTCTCTCAAAAGTAAAGTTGAATAGATTTTTTTTTTTTTTTTTTTTTAACATTGCCAAATAACCAATTTTTCTCCTAATCCTGTTTTTGGAAAGAACTAGACCATTTAGGCTAAAAAATTCCAATAATGTTCAACCGGATTCAGGCGCACTACATGAAAAGCTTCAGCCCCAAACTTACAAAACGTTGGTGACATCATAAAGAGCATTTTATACTGTAATGGCCTGGGCAACCCCAACAGTGTGCGCTACTGCCTCTGCTATTCCTTTTAACAATTCAGATACACAAGCAGGTTTGGATACCAGTTTCTCCAGAACTTGCTGCTGTTGAGTGTAACGTATTGCCATCAACTGATCCTGGTTCATTCCTTTCCATCGATCTGTAAACACACGATGTGGCCCAAAGGAACTGGTTGCTTGTTCTGGATTTTCAGAAAGCAAGTCTCCTTGAAGGAGGTTGGAAATTTCAGCCATATTATCACCTTCTTCCTGACGCTTTTCTATCTTTTTTCTTTCTGCTAAATCTGCAGCCTAATAGGAGGAAAAAGGTGAAAGTTGAGACCATTTCCTTTAAAGCAAACACTAATTCAGTACAGGAATCAAGGAACTTAATACATCAGATATGTGTTAAATAATCTTATTTCCAACCTACATGTGACCAAGTGCATTGTGTTCTTGACTTAAACTTACACAAAATATAAAAGTATCCCTTGAATGCTGTGATGGCATAAATCAAAGACATTTCGGGAAATACCTGCATGCTTGAAAACATATGCCAGAATTATCAAAATTATTTCCACTTGTATTTAAATACATCAGCTCTAATTTTATTTTGACAAAACATCCATCAAGCATAACAATTTACTCAGCTATCACATGCCAGAAACCAGACTAAAATCTTTACAATCTTGAATTAATACAATAAACTATTTATATGAATATTTGATTAGGGATGTAGTTAACCAATTAATTGTTTAACTGATAAGTCCAATGATAACTGGTTATAGTTTACTAGCTATCGTTTACTGCAGGGTACAGCACAGTCTGGCAGGGAAGGGGGTGAAAAGGGAAGCTGCCTGGTGCCCCGCCAAGAAGTGGAAGGCAGAAGGGGAGGAGGGAGGGATGGAGAAGCGACAAAGTGTAAGGGGAGTGAAAAGGGTAAGGGGAACTAGTACCCATAGCTAGTCTGCTTCATCCTTCCCAGTGTACCAGTGGCTGCAGTGAGCTGGAAAAGCCCCTTGCCTGCTGTGCTGCTCATGGTGTTGGCTGGCAGGGCTTTCTACCACCTCCTTACCTCTCAAAGACCCTAGGGAGTGGCTCCCAGCAGCAGCTGTGTCCGAGCAGGTCTGTGTGTGGCTCCTGGCTCCCCATACCGCACTGGGTAGGTGGTTGCAGCCACTCCCCCACCACAGGGCACTGGCCTAGGGCTCTACACTTCCTGGCCAGGGCTAGGTATGCATTATTGGTTAAAAATTTAATTGATAAAATTAACTAGGAGGTAAAATGGATCATTTTTTAAAACAATATTTACATTATTACATTGGATAAACAAACACTTCACTTAACTACACAACAAAATACCAGCCTCACTTTTTTTGGCTGTTGGCTATTGCTTACAACAGGGCTGTCCAACTGGCTTTACAGACTGCATGAAGCCCACAGAGCGTTAAATTGCAGTTCTCAGGCTCCTGCCTGGATGTCACTTTCACTCTGTCCATCACTCTGGCTGCACTCTCCCTTCCTCCTCCACCAGCCATGTTCTGCCTCCACCCCAATCTTTAATTTTAAATGATTTACTCTTAGGTGGGAAAGAAAATAGGATAAGACTTCTGCTGTGACACAGATAAGTAAACTTGAGTTAACTGGAGTGACAGGCCTATGAATTATCCACTCCCATTCCTGACCATTTTCTCTGGTCTGTATTGGGGTCTATAACCCCAAGTCAGACTGTCCAAGATGATGCAAACAGTGGGCTCTTTGCCTGATATGATGTAAAGTGCCCAGGCTAGTTCCATGTAGCAAAGCAGCAAGGACAGCATGTTGTCAGGCCTGGTTTTCCACCCCCAACTAAAATCAAGTCAAACGAGTAGAGAATGGCCTTCTCCCAGCCTTAACTTTAGCCAGCTGGTTAGAATGTTCTCCTGAAAGATGTATATTTGAATACCTCCAGAAGAGGGAACTGTACCCAGATTTCCCATTTCCTGGGTAAGTGCTCTAACTAGGGTAATTAGGTGGAAGGTTCCTACTACCACATTCTCCTCCTGCTATGTTTTGCATGGAAGTGAATATGGCTAGTTTCTGCCGAAATCAGCAATCTGTGCGTTAGGCATGTTCTGAGCATGCCTTCTGGATTGGGCATCTCAGAGGTCACAGTTTTGGAGACATGCAATCTACGAATTCATAAGAAGTAGCATCTAAATGTGCAGGACAGCAAAGATGTTGGCAGTTCTGGGTACACACAGCAAATGAATGTTGGTTCGCTATATAATTTTAATGGCGCACACTTATGTCTCTGCAACTTTTCTAATAAATAAGAAGTTGCAGGGGAGAGAGCAGAAGAAGCTGGGAGCCTTTGTGAATTACTCACTTGGATTTAAATACATAAATTCAACCTAAGTTCTGTTTTAGACACCTGGGTACTCTTAGCATCTGGCCCCAAGTATTTTTAATTCAGGAGCTTCCATAAAAATACACCATGATTTACAGAATGGACACTTTGGATGGACAGTTCTTGTTAGAAAGAATTATACAAGTTTAAAGCAGCCATTTTTTTTTAAAAGCTGATCTTGCTGAGATCTGGTATTTGCTCCAAGAAGAACAATTAAATCTCCTAAGCATGTCTCACATTTTTAACATTCAAACATCCTTAGCAACAGGGAAAGTCCTAAAGTTTTCTGAACCTCCAAGGGAACCTCACTGAAGGAAAACCCCAACTATGTGCAACTCCATGTATTTATCACCATTAACAGTGATTTATGGGCTTATAAAAGAAATATCTTGTTCTCAGGCTAAAATCTGTTGCACTGTCCATCAAAAGTCAAGTGCCCAATAAAAATGATATATCAGTATAGCCTGACAAACAAAACAATTGGCTGAAGGATACATTATTTCCTGTATATTTTAGCCTGCTTTGTGACACTTTGTTTATGTTGCTTCATCCTGTTGCAGCTGTATAAGTTACTACATACAATATAATAAGAGATGTGGGGAGTAACAGCTTTGAGGCCAGAACTTCTCATGCTGAAGGCACTGCCTCATTTTAAAAAGCATTTTGAATATGCTGAGAAAGCCAAGTGCTCTCAAACACAGGGCTGAAGGAATGCTTCAAAGGGCCTGGAGCAATTTGGCTACATTTCTCAAGAAATACTGGAAGAAATACTTATTTACATGTAAAACAACTGCAATTTTGAGATACGTTGTGCACATATCTATTTCATATTAGGACCATGAATGCACACAATTGGCTACCTGTACACATGCTTGTTCATGTTTTAATTAGAATGCACTGGAGCAGTCTCCACATTCTAATTAAAATCCTCTAGCATCACCTCATTGTCATGTTTATTGAGGCCTGTACATTTTTAAATGGCTGTGACGGCACTTTAGCTAAACCTTATTGAGTGAAGCACTCTGCGGCCATTTTCAAATGTATGGGGGTTTAACAGACGTTAAGATGAGGCATTTTAATTAGAAAGGCTCTCTGGGAACCACTCTAATTAAAACACACACACCCTTCCCTCCCTGAGCATGTGTATAGGCAGCCAATGATTTTAAATTGGAAGCTTTGGTCAGCGGTTCCCATCAGGGTGGTACGTGTGCACTGAATATGCCAGGGCCCAGAATTAGGGGTGTACCAATAGAGATTTTTGCGGCCAATACCGATAGCTGATTTTTAAGGAGGCATGTTGGCCAATACCAATCTGATTTCCGGGAATGGCAGCTTGTCCAGGAGATGCAGGGAGGTGAGGAAGCAGCTTCCGCTGCCACGCGCCACTTGCCTGGGAGCCTTTAGCACGGGCCCCTGTCCTGGGAGCCTTTAGCCCAGCAGCTCCCACCACTTGTCCAGGAGGGCATGGGGGGAAACATGTGCCCCCGGATCTGTACAGGGTGGGCTGGGGCCAGGGCTGCACTACACAACAAAATACCAGCCTCACTTTTTTTGGCTGTTGGCTATTGCTTACAACAGGGCTGTCCAACTGGCTTTACAGACTGCATGAAGCCCACAGAGCGTTAAATTGCAGTTCTCAGGCTCCTGCCTGGATGTCACTTTCACTCTGTCCATCACTCTGGCTGCACTCTCCCTTCCTCCTCCACCAGCCATGTTCTGCCTCCACCCCAATCTTTAATTTTAAATGATTTACTCTTAGGTGGGAAAGAAAATAGGATAAGACTTCTGCTGTGACACAGATAAGTAAACTTGAGTTAACTGGAGTGACAGGCCTATGAATTATCCACTCCCATTCCTGACCATTTTCTCTGGTCTGTATTGGGGTCTATAACCCCAAGTCAGACTGTCCAAGATGATGCAAACAGTGGGCTCTTTGCCTGATATGATGTAAAGTGCCCAGGCTAGTTCCATGTAGCAAAGCAGCAAGGACAGCATGTTGTCAGGCCTGGTTTTCCACCCCCAACTAAAATCAAGTCAAACGAGTAGAGAATGGCCTTCTCCCAGCCTTAACTTTAGCCAGCTGGTTAGAATGTTCTCCTGAAAGATGTATATTTGAATACCTCCAGAAGAGGGAACTGTACCCAGATTTCCCATTTCCTGGGTAAGTGCTCTAACTAGGGTAATTAGGTGGAAGGTTCCTACTACCACATTCTCCTCCTGCTATGTTTTGCATGGAAGTGAATATGGCTAGTTTCTGCCGAAATCAGCAATCTGTGCGTTAGGCATGTTCTGAGCATGCCTTCTGGATTGGGCATCTCAGAGGTCACAGTTTTGGAGACATGCAATCTACGAATTCATAAGAAGTAGCATCTAAATGTGCAGGACAGCAAAGATGTTGGCAGTTCTGGGTACACACAGCAAATGAATGTTGGTTCGCTATATAATTTTAATGGCGCACACTTATGTCTCTGCAACTTTTCTAATAAATAAGAAGTTGCAGGGGAGAGAGCAGAAGAAGCTGGGAGCCTTTGTGAATTACTCACTTGGATTTAAATACATAAATTCAACCTAAGTTCTGTTTTAGACACCTGGGTACTCTTAGCATCTGGCCCCAAGTATTTTTAATTCAGGAGCTTCCATAAAAATACACCATGATTTACAGAATGGACACTTTGGATGGACAGTTCTTGTTAGAAAGAATTATACAAGTTTAAAGCAGCCATTTTTTTTTAAAAGCTGATCTTGCTGAGATCTGGTATTTGCTCCAAGAAGAACAATTAAATCTCCTAAGCATGTCTCACATTTTTAACATTCAAACATCCTTAGCAACAGGGAAAGTCCTAAAGTTTTCTGAACCTCCAAGGGAACCTCACTGAAGGAAAACCCCAACTATGTGCAACTCCATGTATTTATCACCATTAACAGTGATTTATGGGCTTATAAAAGAAATATCTTGTTCTCAGGCTAAAATCTGTTGCACTGTCCATCAAAAGTCAAGTGCCCAATAAAAATGATATATCAGTATAGCCTGACAAACAAAACAATTGGCTGAAGGATACATTATTTCCTGTATATTTTAGCCTGCTTTGTGACACTTTGTTTATGTTGCTTCATCCTGTTGCAGCTGTATAAGTTACTACATACAATATAATAAGAGATGTGGGGAGTAACAGCTTTGAGGCCAGAACTTCTCATGCTGAAGGCACTGCCTCATTTTAAAAAGCATTTTGAATATGCTGAGAAAGCCAAGTGCTCTCAAACACAGGGCTGAAGGAATGCTTCAAAGGGCCTGGAGCAATTTGGCTACATTTCTCAAGAAATACTGGAAGAAATACTTATTTACATGTAAAACAACTGCAATTTTGAGATACGTTGTGCACATATCTATTTCATATTAGGACCATGAATGCACACAATTGGCTACCTGTACACATGCTTGTTCATGTTTTAATTAGAATGCACTGGAGCAGTCTCCACATTCTAATTAAAATCCTCTAGCATCACCTCATTGTCATGTTTATTGAGGCCTGTACATTTTTAAATGGCTGTGACGGCACTTTAGCTAAACCTTATTGAGTGAAGCACTCTGCGGCCATTTTCAAATGTATGGGGGTTTAACAGACGTTAAGATGAGGCATTTTAATTAGAAAGGCTCTCTGGGAACCACTCTAATTAAAACACACACACCCTTCCCTCCCTGAGCATGTGTATAGGCAGCCAATGATTTTAAATTGGAAGCTTTGGTCAGCGGTTCCCATCAGGGTGGTACGTGTGCACTGAATATGCCAGGGCCCAGAATTAGGGGTGTACCAATAGAGATTTTTGCGGCCAATACCGATAGCTGATTTTTAAGGAGGCATGTTGGCCAATACCAATCTGATTTCCGATACCAGCCTGGCAGTGTGAAGAGCTACCTCCAGCTTGTAAGTTGGGGGTGGGTGGGAGGGAAAAAGGGGAAGGGGCGTGGGCAGGCGGATCAAGGCTGCTGCAGGGAGGGAGTCTTGTGGCTGGGGCTGCCCAGCCGTGGCAGGGCGGGCGCAGGATGGAATGGCAGCTTGTCCAGGAGATGCAGGGAGGTGAGGAAGCAGCTTCCGCTGCCACGCGCCACTTGCCTGGGAGCCTTTAGTCCAGCAGCTCCCACCACTTGTCCAGGAGGGCATGGGGGGAAACATGTGCCCCCGGATCTGTACAGGGTGGGCTGGGGCCAGGGCTGCACCAAGCTTTTCCTGGTGGGGCAGGGCTGTGCTGGGAAGGGGCTACAGCGAATTTGTGGCTGCAGCACCCACCTGTAGACTGCCTTTAGAAACCGAATATGTAACAGAGCTTGGAGTGTTCTGACTGCCCTGTGCCGAGCAAGCTAAAAATCCAGGAGACTATCTTTAAAGAAAAATAAGTAAACAAATAAATCTATATATTTTGATTGTTCAAACAAATTTGGAATTCGACTGCTGACAAGCCCTTGTGCCATAATGATTCATCATAATGCTCCTCAAAATTATTGTTGATCTTATTTTCCCTCCACTTTATAAACAAAATCAGTTCACCTGGATTCGGTTACAATCCTTTATAGCTGCACAAACAGCTCGTCTGGTTTCTTCATTTATTCTCTGAAGTTCGATGGCCTTTTGATCAAGTTCAACCCTGTTCTTGTCATAGAGATCCTCTGAATTTAAGTATAAGATATGCATGAACATAATATGCCATATGTAAATACCAATTTAAACAGTTTATTAATGTGGAGTGAATATCTCAGACTGAAAGTTAATTAAAGCATCAGTTTCCAACTCCTTATCTGATTTGTCATCTTCACATTTTTAATGAGTTATAAGAAAATAAAAACATTTTTAATATTAATATTAAAACTGCAAATAAAATGTTTGTTTCAGGTCAGAAGTTAATGAATAAATCACACTACAGTTTTTCTATTCAAACTCTGGTAAAGTTAGCTTGACTTCATTGAATCAACTGACAGTTAGCTTGCCTTCACTGAATCAATTTTCAAACATTAATAGTATACCAACATTTTCCAAACTAGTTAATCCATCATTTGAAGACAAGTTCAGAAATTGGGATCATCCTAAATTCAAGTAGTTTTTTTATTTGACACATTAAATCAAAATTACTTTCTGTCAATCTCTAAATGTTACTGCCTATGACAAGTTAAAACCCCCCCAAACTGTTTGTGAAATACATTGAGGTATTTCTGTATCACAGACTGATATAAAGGACTCTTCTATAATTTTGTCAGTTACCACCTTTAGAACTTGGTGAGAGAGGGGAACCAAAACAAAACAAAATCTCATTTTTCACATTTGTTACCTGCAAGCTTTTTATCTGCTAATGCATTTTCCCAATCTCTCTGTTGCTGCAGAAACCATTCTCTTGACTGCTCCTTTTGAAAATCTGACCGCTGAGCTTGGTTTAAATCTTCTCCTACAAACATCTGCAAGCCAGACACAGTACATCGAGGGTCACTGTCAGAAAGGCGAGCAGGAGTATCCTTCTTTAGGCCTTGTGGATCAGACAAGTCAAATTCACGCCGAGTTTCTGGCTTCTGAAAATTGTGTTGAAACTCAGCAAGAGCTTTATTTAGGTTTCTGATGTCCTTCCTCTGCCGTTCGTCTAATATACAGGTGATCTTGTCATTTTGCTTCATCTCACCAGCTAAATATATACATTTTAAAAGTGAAGATTTCAGTCTCAAAATATAAAGTCATGTAAGAAGAGTCTGACTTTGCAAAAGACAATAATAAACTTTTATATATGATTACAGTCCAGTAATGTAAAGACAATGCTGATGTTTTCTAAAGCTGATAGTAGCATGATGACACTTTTAAAGGGTTTTTAAATAGGTCACCTTTTCATTAGAAGCATGATCGAAAATATAATAAAAGCAATGGATAAAACTGGTACTAAAGCTAGATGGCTTTATGTACATACAACAGTGCTGATGCAGCATAAACAAAGTACTCTATAGCATTTCCCTAGCACGGGGGTAGGCAAAATGCAGCATGCAGGCTAGATTTTGTGGGGCCTGTGGCAGGTCCCACAGTCCCGCCTGGGCCAGGCACTGACCAGCAGTGGTGTGTCCTGCTACCCCTGGGCATGCAGTAGGGGTGGGGCAGCTCCACGGTGGGACTGCCTTTCTAGGCAGCCCAGGTGGTGGCAGCTTTTTCTGGCTGCTGCTACCGCTGGCCTGAGCCCCAGCGGGGACCCATGCTACACAGCCCCGACCCTGTGTGCCCCACACCTGCTCCAGGCTTTCCGGCCCAGGCTGAGCAGTGGTGGCACAGAACAGAAGCTGTTGCTCTGCGTGGGGGAGAAGCAGCCCCTTCCCCCACAGCTGCTAACCATTCCTGTTTTAGCTGTCTGGAGCCTGCACCGTGCCAGGCTGCCCTGCATCTCCACCACCATCACTGCCTCCAGGGGATGGCAGGACACACCACAGGCAGGCAGTACGGAACCAGGACAGGGGTTGGGGCTGTGCCCAGGTTCTGGCTGATCCACTCTGGTAGGGGTGAGTCCGGAGTGGGGTGGGGCGTGTTACTGGTGGTGGCAGGGAGGTGCCGCAGGACATGTGCTTGCTTTGGGCTGTTGCAGGGTGGGTGCTGACTGGCATACGGGGGCTCCCATGCACACCCCACCATACCTGCCCTACACACCCTGCCCTCCCCCACACACAATCACACACCCACCCACACCTGCCACAAACACCACCCTCCCCACATGCACCACGTCCATACACACCTCCACACTTCTGGGAGGGAGCCCTGCTCACTTCTACACACACACACACCCCCCACCACACACAACCTTTCCCTCCACATACCCCACAGTCCCCCAAACATGCCCCCCCAAACCTCCCATACCCTCACACCCTATACATACACAGCTTCCCATAAACCCCATACCCGCCCCTCCACACTCCCCCCACAATATACAAGAATAAGACTTCATTTTGAGCTATTATGCAGCAACTTCTATATACATTATACAAACACACACAAACCAGGATAACATTATTCTACTTCATAAAAGCTTAAGTCTGTTGGTCTGTCTGTCCATAACACTTTATTCGTGCTCCGATTGGCTGTCTTGGCAGCCAATCAGAGTGCCCTACACAGACAGGGACAGAGCGCAGCACCACCATGCCAGTGGGGACTGAGGGGCTGGAGGGGAGGAGGAGAATGGCTCTAGACCAAAGTGGCAGTGGGGGAAAGGCAGGGAGTGCCCCGGCCCCAGCCCAGCGCGGCGGGGGACGCAGGTCTCTGTCCTTGCCTGCCTCCCCCCTGTCATTCTTGATGGGCAATTTGCTACTATTTTTAAATAAAATTAAAAGAGTTATTGTCAATATTTGATTTTAATATACATTTTTATTTTTCAATTCCAAGATGGCAAACCCTCTTCTCAAAAGGAATACTTCTGGGTGGGGGCAAGGGGAGGGATGTCTGATGGCAAAGGTCAGGGGTTAGAGGACAGGTCTGATGGCGGGGCTACTCTTGTGGCCCTTGACAGCTCACCAAAACTCATTAAGCAGCCCTCCACCCAAAATAATTGCCTGCCCCTGCCCTAGCATTTACTCCCAACTTGCAGTTGGGACAGAAACATATTTGCTAATTAGGACCAAAAGAAATCACAAAAACAAATCAATTATTTAAATAGTGGAGGTTTAGATGGTTATGCTAGACTTCCAATTTTCAGCAAAACCACTCAGGGGGGAAAAAAAAAAAGTCTGAAGAACATCATCACTTTTAGAAGAGATTATTGTCACTCCTCCACAGTATGAGATAGTACAGAGTCTGACCATTTAAATATAATCCACAAGTGAATACCACAGATGTGCATTCTGGCAGGAGCAATTTCTGGCTGTTTTATAGGGGTCAAGTTCTGGCAGGTATTCTGTCTGGGTGCCTACCAGGAAAATCATGACCAGAAACATGAAGGTAGAGCAGAAGCTGGATACTGCTTTCTGGGTCTTCTTGAAACTCAGAAAGGTTAGCTTGTGGTCCCTTTGCAAATGAGATCATGTGGTGGCATTCAAGCTGTGGCATGGCGAGTCTTACAAGCCAAGGGATGTGGTCATTATGTTTGTATGTGTATGTTCCCTGCCTGATGCAAGTAATTCAAGTTTCTAGCAAAAATAATCTGTACAGAGGGCAAAAATCAATTCACAGATTTAAACCCCACAATTCTGAGAACAACCCTGTTGTTAAAACATGGTTCTTTGTCTGTTTGTTTAAAAAAAAAAAAAAAGCATACATCTTCAAGCCCACAGATATTGTATCACTGCTTGATAAAAGAAATCATTGCGATCATTCTGTTTCCCACTTTTAGGTCTTGCCTCAAGAAAATTCAAACTAGCATAACTGTGTTGATATAGTTACATTGCTGCAAGCTCCTGATACAGACCCACAAGAAATCAGTGCTTACAATCAGCGTGCACACCATGGGTGCCATGATATCCTTTGAAGGATACCACAGGAGGTATGAGACGATAAGAGAAGCAGATAAGGGTAGGCTCAGGCTCCCAATGTGAAGAGATAGCAGGGGCTCCCCCTGCCTCGCCCCTCTGCAAGGAGGTAAGCACTGTAATAAACTAATTTTTTAAATGGTGTGCTGCTCAATTCACAAAACTTATGCAGAAGTACCTTGAGTCTGATGAGTGGTGCCTTGACTCTAAGAAGGCTGTTGAAAGCCAGTGGTTCTTACTCTAGCTTAGTCTGGTAACATACTAGACTTGTGTAAATGTAGCCTTTTGCTGGGGTAATGCATCTAAAGTAGCAGGTCACTCTGACACAACTATACCAACATAGTTATATGAGTGCAGACTTCCTTAGTAGAATCAGGGCCTTGAGCTTGTGGCCAAAGAGCAGATTGTTTATACAGAAGTAGGAAGAAAAAGCCCAGAAAAGCAACTTTCTGTTTGCTTTCTAATTTGAATTATTGAAGAGTAGGGCTGGAAGGGACCTCAAGAGATCATCAACTTACTCCAGGGGTCAGCAATCTTTTGCTACAGGCCACTGCTTGTGACTTTGCCTGCAATTCTCTGCCCTGAAGTGCCCAAGCTGCTTATTGCCATCTGCAATGGCAATGGGGAGGGGCAAATTCTGTGGCACAGACAAGAGAGAGCAGGAGCAAGGGCTGTTGAGGGTGGGACTCTGTGAGGGGTGGCATGGTGCAGCTGCTGATCATAGATTTCACAGACATTAGGGCTGGAAGGGACCTTGGAGAATCATCGAGTCCAGCCCCCTGCCCGAAGGGCAGGAAGTCGGCTGGGTTCATAGGATCCCAGCAAGATAAGCATCCAATTTACTCTTGAAGGTGTTCAATGTAGGTGCTTGAACCACCTCCGACGGCAGGCTGTTCCAGACCTTGGGGGCTCAGACTATAAAGAAAGTATGCCTTATGTCCAGCCTGAAATGGTCTTGCAGTAGTTTGTAACCGTTCGACCTCATCATCCCTTGGGGCGATCTGGTGAACAAACGTTCCCCTAGATACTGGTGGCCACCCCTGATAAACTTATAGGTGGCCATCAGATCACCCCTGAGCCTGCGCTTTTCCAGGCTAAAGAGCCCCATAGCTCTCAGCCTGTCGTCATAAGGTCT